ATGAAATAGTGGGTAAAAGTGGATCGATCTTTTGTCAAACCTAAAGATCTTCAGCGCTTGCCGCAGCAGTAGCCGAGCAATTTAAATGCAAATCTTGATCTGGAGTGCTTTGCATCGTTAAGTTGCCGGCAGCAGTCGAGTAAGAATTCAATTTAAGCACTACTATTCCTTTGTTAAATGCAGTTATTAGATTTGACAGTTTACAGTTGGGCGATAGCTTTGAAGAGTTGCCGCCGGCTCAGCGCAAGCAGCAGCAGCAGCAGCAGTGGCTCCGGCTATGGTTACGGCTACTAAATTACTTACAACTTGTGGAATTATCAGCAGCTTGTTTGGTTTTTCTGGTGCAGCGGCGGCGGAAGATGAAAGGCTGTGCAGCCATTTCAATTAGCATTTTGATGGCACTTACAAATGAGCGGCTTGAGCGGCTAGAGCGGCCAGAACGGCCAGGGAATCGCGGCCATTTGATAGGCAATTGATAGCACTTCATAAAGCAGCCGATCGTTTGTAGACCGAAATTGACGTGGTGACATGGCGAGGCGCGGGCACATTATTAAATCACTCGGAGTTTATGAAATGTCACGCGATTTTCGAAAGACTGCGACTCGAGTCGCTCTCCAGCGGCGCCAGCTGTGACAATCTTATGGTAATTAAGTTTTTGCAGTTTTTCGGACTCGAAATCGTTAGGCATTAATCAATGCTCAAATTGCCGACAGGGATGAAGTTTTTTAAACAAATGGCTGCATGCCTGCCGGCCAGACTCAAAGCAACCAAGAAACAGAAACACAAAAATAAAATATAAGTAGAAAAAAATAGCAACACTCGACATTCGGCATTCGACATTCGACATTCGACAACTGGCGACAAGACGTCAACTTGTTTGGCAATAAAATTGTAAGCATTTATCTTGTAAGTCTTTTGTGTGTTACATTGTCGCTTTTTGTGTTGCGCTGCGTTGTTTTTCTTGTGCGTAGACCAAAATGGGCTTTTCTTTTTGCATTACAAAAGTATTGAGTTTCCAAACGATTTGTCAACGTTTAGACCCAGCCACAGCCCCTGCCTCGGCTCCAACCTCAGCTGTAGCCGGCTAACAAGTTAAGGCCAGGCATTTTGTTGGCTCGTAAAGATTTGTTGACACTTGCGTGTTGATGTTTTTCCGTTGTTGCTGTTGCTCTCGGCCATGCAAATCAAACGTCGAGGACCACCTGCCCAGTTCGGCCACAGTTGAGTTTAAGAGACAAGCAACAAGAAATGTTCACACTTTGCTGCTCCGTTCTCATGAATGAATATTTCATTCACTCCATATACTTGTGGGAGCTGTGCAACTATTGCCTGGGATCATCATCGTCGAATATGTTGCATAAAATTGATTTAGAACTGCTTGAGAAAACGAAAACAAAATCTATCATTTTTAATTTACATTCCGATATTGACTTGAATAATAATTAATATTTTTTATTTTATTTAAGATAGTTTATAGACTTATTTAAATACGGGTGTTGCCAAACAGTTACTGGAAGCCGTATGGTTGACAAAAATATATAATATATATTATATACATATTGTATTATATTATATTCGGCAGCATTACAAATACATAAATCCAATAGCAAAATGTGTACGAAAAATAAAAAATAAATAATTTTGCAAAGTATCTAAATAGTAATTATGATCAAATAATAAAAAATAATAAAAGCTAAGGAAACAAATTAGTTTAATATCTTAAACAGTGAAAGAAGTAATAAAGGAGCAAAAGATTTGAAAACTACAAATGTGCCAAACAAATAAAAACTTTATGTTCAAACGTTATTTTAGCATTATTCACTTTGCAACTTATCTTATAACCTAACCTAATCAGCAAATTAGGTTAGTATTACATTAACATTATCTTTTGAATTTTAGTGACTAGAGATAGACTAGAGTATACAGCATTTAGAGGGTTCAACCGCAGCGATGGTTAATTGTGCTGTTGCTAATTAATTTGTTGGTAAAGGAGTCTATAAATATGATCTATTTAGGCTTCTTCTGACCCACGTTTAAATAATCTAAAAGTTCCGTTCTTCAGCAATTGTTGACTTTCATAAATATTTAGTTTATTTAGCAGTTTAGTTGTTTCATATCCCTAATTTTTACTACTATGTCGCTTACTAATGATATTTGGTTTTATTGTTTCCTATTTTTATTCGTACCATACAGTTGAAATGAAAAAAGAATATCAAACGGGCCGCAGCGTCTTATCGCACTATTTATGAACCAGAGCGATCGAATTTATCGAACAGCGCGCACCACTTAAGGCGCTGCTCTGAGCCGATCTGTGTTTAATTTCATTATGCAAAATGAATTAATTTAATTTGACTTCAGTTTTCTGTTGGCATCATCCGCAAATCCACATAGTTATGGCTCTGAACGAATTGGGAGCTCTGAGCTGGGAAGCTCGCTCGAATTTCACCTCGAAATTCGTTACAGATTTCGGAACCCATGACGAATTGGCGACCTTTTGTTCATGTTAAATAAAATTAATAGAGAAATTAGGCAGAGCAGCGTCGGGTGAGATGAGGCGTCGCTTATTAGTGTTAGTTGGGTGCCTTAAGTGGCGCAGTTTAGGCAGCTCCCCGTTCTGGCTGGCTGCAATTAGTCAATTAATGAAAAGGCCATAAATATGCGACTAACATTTATCGATAACCGAAAAGGTCTCCTCCTCTCGCCTTCTCGCGTGCCTTGGCCAACTGGCCAACTGCCCAAATGCCCAAATGGCAACGGGTCTCTCACTCACTTCGGCTGCTGCTGCTGCTGCTTGCTGGCCATAAATTAATAGTCCATTATTTCTAAATTTTTGTCCACTTCAAACTGTCGTCGGGCAGTCGGGCGACTGCTTGAACCGTTTCGCATTTGCATTTTAATCTCTCGGCCACAAATTAGTTCCCTGCCCGACTTTGTGTTGACTTGTCAGTGCGGCCAATAAAACTTGGCCAGAGTGTCGCGTAATCGAAAACGAAAGCAACAGGAGTCGGTGCTTATTTGTGTATGTGCGTGTGTGAGTGTGTGTGTGTGTTGTATTTTGGAAAATATGTAAATCATTTTGCGTTTGCGCACATTTCAAAAATTGCTTAATTTCCTCCACATTTGATCGCTGGAAAATCAACAGACGAACAACCACATACTGCGTGCGAGGGCTGCACGAAAAGTTGCTACGCATAACTGAGCATAAAGGATTATGTGGATATATTATATAAATTGCGTCGCTTACGATATAAGCTGTGACATTCAAAATATCTATTAGACATTAATCAAGCTCAAGCTTAAACTAAACTCGATCTTATATTTATTATTTATGTGAAAAATTGATCGATATTATTGTAATTGAAAGTGAAAGTGAAAGTGAAAGTGACAGGTGTTTATTGCATATTTTTCATCTATTTCTCTAATTCTTAATTAAAAGTATACATGGTATATACGATTAGTTTAAAAAGGGAGTTTTATAATCAATATGTTGTCATTCTAAAAGACTGTAAAAAGTTTTCGATATTCAAAAAGCTTCTTAACAGATTCCTGGAATTAGTAAATTAATATACATTCAATTTCATTGAATTTGTATTTTAATTCCTAACTGTTTTGTTCTCTTATCCATATTTCCAATGTTGCATATACAGCAGAATCCGGCTATAACGTCACTCGAGGGACCGTCGGTCTACCCGGAAGGCGCTATAACCGTATAAGTTTCCTCATAAAAGTTTGTCTGGGGACCAGAATTTTCGTCGCTATAACCGTACAGACGCTATAAGCAGAGTCGTAATAACCGGATTCTACTGTATTTTAAAATTGTTTAAGCGGTTTTTATTGACAGTGCTCTTATACCTTAAGTTATTATAATATTTAAATCTAATGGACTAAATATATTCTGATGATTCAATTGTTCAAAGTAGTGTGATCATCATATCTTCACTAGACTCACTGTTTTCATAAATTATAGTAGCCCTGTCGCATCAGTTTTCACAAATCTTCAGAAAGGAGGGGGTAGATTATCTAGTGCTTGGAATAATAAGTGTATCATTAATAGATATAAAACAAAAGCTTTCTATCAAATTTTCTCAGCTCATTTCATACTTTGAATACATTTGAAAACATTTAAAGTTAGCTCAAATCTATTTTTATCGAGAATAATTTGATTTAAATCGCATATATATCTATCCAAGCAACATTTAAAATTTGTTCAGCTTAATTGCTATCGTTGGCTACATCAGCTTGGTTTACTGCTAATTTGCACTGGCAGCTAGAGTTCAGCGCTGTCAATTTCACGTTCCCCATACATGTATGAGCGCTGCATTGAGTCAGAGCTAGCCTTGCCTTGCCCAACCCTGGAGTGGGTACGTGGCCAAGTGGTTGGCACTCAAGCAAACTTTGCTTTGGGCACTTTGCGAGCTCATTTTCCGACTCAATCAAATCAAATAATTTATGCCTTGCAAAATGAACTGGCCAAGTGAGCGGAGCTGCTGAGGTCACGGCGCGAGCTGCCATTGCCAATGCGAGAGAGCGAACTGGGCCCAAAGCACAGTTAAATCTTTTAGCCTGGCCATAAAATGTGTTGATTTTTCCATTTGCCGAAGCTGCTGCGACGGGGCCCTAAAGCACTGCAATGAGCATAAATAAGAGAGTTCGAGAGACTCGGCGAAAATGGATAGCTGGCTGCATGGAGAGGAAAATGCATGAAAATGTATAAATATAAA